TAGTAGTAGTAGTAGTAGTGGTAGTATTAGTCGTAGTAGTGGTAGCAGTAGTAGTAGTAGTAGTAGTAATAATTTTTACAGTCGTCGTAATTAGAGTAGTAGTAGGCGTAGTCGTAGTAGTAGTAGCAGTGGTAGCAGCAGTAGTAGTAGTAGTAGTAGTAGTAGTAGTAGTAGTAGTAGTAGTAGTAGTAGTAGTAGTAAGTAGTAGTAGTAAGTAGTAGTAGTAGTAGTAGTAGTAGTAGTAGTAGTAGTAGTAGTAGTAGTAGTAGTAGTAGTAGTAGTAGTAGTCGTAGTCGTAGTAGTAGTAGTAGTAGTAGTAGTAGTAGTAGTAGTAGTAGTAGTAGTAGTAGTAGTAGTCGTAGTAGTAGTAGTAGTAGTAGTAAGTAGTAGTAGTAGTAGTAGTAGTAGTAGTAGTAGTAGTAGTAGTAGTAGTAGTAGTAGTAGTAGTAGTAGTAGTAGTAGTAGTAGTAGTAGTAACAGTAGTAGTAGTAGTAGTAGTAGTAGTAGTCGTAGTAGTAGTAGTAGTAGTAGTAGTAGTGGTAGTAGTAGTAGCAGTAGCAGTGGTCGTTGTAGTGGTAGTAGTAGTCGTAGTCGTTGTAGTAGTAGTCGTCGTCGTCGTCGTCGTCGTAATCGCAGGTGCAACATGTGTCGTACCATTTTCCAACTCGTACCAATCGTACTATCAGTAGTGTGTCGTAGTACCGGTTGACCTTGTAGTGTCCATCGCGTTTTTACCATACCAGTCGGATGTTCTAGAGTATCCGTACTCATGGTGTCAGCAGTACTATCAGTCATAGTGGTATTAGTCGTCGTATCGGCAGTAGGTGTACTTCACGTATCAGGGGCATTTGGTGTAGTCGTAAGAGCAGCAACAGTGGTGAACAGTCGTCGTAGCCATCTTCTTGAAGCTTCGCGTGCCCTCACCAGCCCTCCCAGACACGATGCCCAGCGGAGCTGCCCTAAACTCTCAGACTTATCTTTGTGCGTCTTGGGGCCTTTTCGGGGCCGGTTGGGGGCCTGGTGGGGGCCTGTGGGGGGCTCTGATGGCCCTCTGGGCGCCTCTTGTAGCCTTTTTAGGGCTCTCTGGGAGCGTTTCTGTGGGAGCCTTACTTTGCCTTGCCCCACCCCCTCCCCCCCACGAGGCCCACATTGGCCCAACTTCTTGGAACGGTCATATTGGTGCCGTCTCGCTGAGGCCATCTTGGACGCTTTGTTCGCTCGCGACGCCCTCTCTTCACCTGCTTTGCCTTTACAAAAGTAGCACCCGGGTCTCCGCACAGGCACGGGCCGCCATCGACAACCATCGAGAACCAATGACGACGGCAGGCAAGTGCGCGATGCCCGCGAGGTGCGCCGCGCGTGTCAGGTGCGCCACGCACACCAGTTGTGCCACATTGGGCAATCTAGCCACCGCCCCACAACCCTGGCAAAACAGCAATGTACATCGATTGCGGGTTTGCGAGCGTTATGTGTGGTGTGCGGGTTTCCACCCACAATCACATTGCATCTTTTTGACAAACAGTGCGCTACGGATTTCTTACTCCTGGTCGATGTAACTGGGCCGTGCGGGCGGTTTGGCGGCTATGTTCCCGCCGTCGTCGTCCCGTCACCGCCTCGTCGCTGCCAGTCGCTTGGGCCGTGTGGGCGGTCTGGCGGCTATGTTCCCGCCGCCGCCGCGTCGCCGCCTTGTTGTTGCTCGTCGTTTGGGCCGTGTGGTCGACCTGGCGGCTATGTTCCCGCCGTCGCCGCTTCCCTGTCGCCGCCCCGTCGCCGCCTCGTCGCAGCCCGTCGCTGGCGTTGGATTGCACCACGTAGGTTCCACGGGCACAATCACGCCTGCGGGGTGCTTTTTCATCGCTCACGGCATAGGTTTGCGCCACATGTTGCACACCATATAGTGCACGAGCACATGTATTGCACCACATATGTTGCGCACCATAGATTATACACAACATAGGTGGCACAACTTATTGCACAACCATCCAGATGTCATTAAGTATGTTGCACCAAATATATTGCACACCGCATATTGCACCACATATCTTGCATCACATCTATTGCGCGATCTGTTTCCGCGCCTGCGGCACGCTTTTTGATAGCTCACAACATGAGTGTACAACGTGGATTACACCACATCGGTTGTGCAACATAGGTTACACCACACACGTAGCACAACGTATATTGCACACAATATATTGCACCACGTAGTTTGCGCTACATATACTGCACAACCACCTGTATTGCACCATATAGGTCGCACGCCAGATCTTACACCACAAAGGTTGCGCAACACATTGCACAGCCACGTAGATGTTACAACAGGTATGGCTCAACATTCATTACACAGCACCGGTTGCACCACATATATTGCAGTACACATAGTGCACGATTGTATCCGTGCTTGCGGCACGCTTCTCGATCGCTCACAACATATATTGCTCACCATATATTGCACTGCGCATAGTGCACACCATTGGACGCATATAGCACAACATGCATCGCACAATAAACATGGCACCATGTAGTTTGCACTACATACATTGCACAGGATAGATCGCGCCACATATCTTGCATAACATGTATTGCTTGCCATCGAGTGCTTGGCACACTGTTTGGGGTCCATGCGGGCTCACATATTTAATTCATAGTCGTAACGGCCATTACCGTGGGGGCACGCTTGTAACGGGCGATGTCCGTGAACATTGTCTCTCGTTGTCGTCTTTGCAATTCTCGCCACCAGCCCTTGCGTTATACCGCTTCGTCGTCGCCGTCGTCGTTGCCGTCGCCGTCGTCGTCGCCATCGTCGTCGCTTTCGTCGCGGTCGCCGTTCACGAGGTCGTCGTCGACGACGTCGTCGCGGTCGACGTTGGCGACGTGGGCGTTCTCCAGATGAGGCCTTCGGGGATCCCGTGCCCGTGGAAGTCCCCAGGGACCTCAAGGTGCCGACGTCGTCGGCGTCGTTGTCAAGCCCTTCGTTCCCGTCGTTCAGTTCGTTCCCGTCCTTACTATTCTTGGCTATTTTGGGCGCCTGTTTCATGCAGGTGGAGGCTCCACCACAGGATGCACTGGTGCAAACAATCGCATTGAGCAGAGGTCTGGAGCCAGACCCCCCCCCTCTCCCTCCCCTTTTCGCCCAATGTCGAAACGCTGGATAAGAACACGTCCACATGTCTGAACCATGTAACACATCTCGAGGTACAAAAAGCAGGTGTAAACTATTTGAAGACACAAAACATTTACGAATCTGCTTCCTTCAATGATAGCGCTGCTCGAGTGTCCACTGCCGTGGCGTCCGAAAAGCTCGACGCCCGCCCCGTGGCCCATTGCGACGCCCAATCCAGCACCCAGCCCCGCGCCCAACCCCTCCGACCTCATCGCGGCGCCTCCCGCGATGCCCGCCGCGACGATCAACACAATTCCCATGACGACGCCTACTAGGAGAAGCAGCAGTAGTAGTAGTATCCGTAGTTGTAGCGGCAGTGCCCGTGGTAATAGTGGGATTCGTAGAAGGACGGGAATGATGCTGCTGCTGATCATGTGGATGAACGTGCTGCTGCTGCTGTTGTTGTTTTTGGCGATGATGAGGACGATGAAGATGCTGACGATGATGACGATGATGATGGTGAGAATGGTTAGCATGGCGATGGTGATGGTGTTGGTGATGGTGATACTGATGCTGATCATGGTGATGCTGATGCCGATGAGGATGATGACGTTGATGGTGATGACGATGTTGATGCTGATGATGATGATAAGGACGATCATGGTGATGATGATGATGATGATGATGATGATGATTCTGATGATGATGATGATGATGAGGAGGAGGAGGAGGAGGAGGAGGAGGAGGACCAGTGACACCCACAAGCCATCAACGATGTTGGAATAGACCCTCCCTCAAAGCTCCCTCTTCATAGGCCCCTACAACGGTTCATTTCCATTGAGGGATCTGCGTCGTTGGAAGACAACCGTTTGAAGTCCCGGAGGCATGCCAAAACATTGTTCTCGGGATTCCAACGCCACGGATCAATCTGATTTGTCCGTCTTGACGATCCGCGATCGTGCCAGAACGCCATTCTTGGGACTTCAGCACCGCAAACCAACATAATTGTTGCACCCGTGAAATCCGGAATCCGTCCAAAGCACCATCTCTGGTACGTTGATCGCTGGAATCCGTGAAGTTCTTGCAAATTTTATGAACGAAGGTGCGCGGCGCTAAGGCGAGAACCACATGTTGAAAAGGAACCGCCCTGAATCCGTGAAACTCTTGCAATGTTTTAGAAAGAATGTGCGCGGCGCTAAAGCGAGAGCCACATTTTGAAAATTGGTTATCCTCAGTCCGTGAGTGAAGCCCTTGCAGATAATTAAAAACGAATATGCGCGGCGCTGAGGCGATAGCCACATTTTGAAAACGGGTTATCCTCAATCCGTGAAAGTCCGGAAACGAATGTGCGCGGCGCGAAGGCGAGAGCCACATTTTGAAAACCACCCGCCCTCCATCTATGAAACTGTTGCCAATTTGTAAGCTTCAGAGTCATACGTGGTGAGGAAGTCTCAGGCGAAACGCCTGGCCCGCCCTAAAACTGGCTTCGGGGTGCGACAGGGCGAAGGTCTTTACCAGGAACAGGAACGGAGGAGGAGAAGGTGGAGTTGGAGGAGGAGGAGGAGGGTACCGATGATGATGCTGAGGAGGAGGATCAGGAGGATGATGATGAGGTGGCGGAGGAGGAGGAGGAGGAGCAAGAGGAATCGGGAGGAGGCGGAGAGATGGAGGCAGGGAGGAAGGTGGATGGACAACGAGGAAGGAATGGGGGAAACAAGCTGGACGGGGAGGGAGCAAGGAAGCGAGGAAGGGAGGCAAGGAGGGAGGGTGGGAGGGAGGACCGGCAGGAGGAGGAGCAGGAGGAGGAGGAGGAGGAGGAGGAGGAGGAGGAGGAGGAGGAGGTCGACCTGCACGTGGAGCGAGGAGGACTGCCCGGACGCCGGTCCCGCTCGCCCAGGAGAAGGGCAAGGGCAAGGGCAAGAGCGGCGGATGGGAGGACCTCGCGCCAGGGGGCCACGCGACCCTCGCCCTGAGAGGAGGAGAAGGAGGAGGAGGAAGAGGATGAGGAGGAGGAAGAGGAGGGGAAGGAGGAGGACAAACACTCTGTTGCAGGATGGTCTTTCCCCCAGAGGGCCGTGTCAGCTCAGGGATGTAGCGCACACTCCGCGTAACGTAGTTGGTCCCATGTGGCTGTGCACCCCCTAGCCAGGCGCTGAAGAGCCAACGACTTCGTCGACTGCTCCTTGTTTATAATATCCCCACGACCCACCAAGTCCTCACACCCCAGCACCTCATATCATACATCGCCTGCAGATAGATCCAGCCGCGTCAAAAACTCCAGGGAAGAGATCGGCCAGAATTTAGAAACGAGGAAGAGGAGGAGGAGGAGAGGAGGAATAGGAGGAGGAGGAGGAGGGGAGGAGGAGGAGGAGGAGGAGGAGGGAGGAGGAGCAGAGGAGAGGAGAGAGGAGGAGGAGGAGGAGGAGGAGGAGCAGGACAGGAGGAGAGAGAAGGAGGAGGAGGAGAGGAGGAGGAGGAGGAGGAGGAGGAGGAGGGGATGAGGGGGAGGAGGAGGAGGAGGAGGAGGCGGAGGAGGAGGCGGAGGAGGTGGAGGAGGCGGAGGAGGGTGGGGAGGAGGAGGAGGATGCGGATCAGGAGGCCGAGGAGGCGGAGGAGGCGGAGGAGGAGGAGGAGGAGGAGGAGGAGGAGGAGGAGGAGGAAGACGGTATGGGTATGGATATGGGTATTGGCATGGGACTGGGTAAGGCTGGCAATCCGCAGCCGTCGGGGCGGACGGGCCACCTCAGCCCTCGTCGCCCCTCTCGGTGTCGGAGTCGCTTCCGCGGCCCGCCGCAGTCTGGGCTGCCGCCCGTCGGAACTCCTGGACCTCGAGGTCAGACTCCAGCAGCCCGTGTCGTCGCAGCAAGTGAAGTCGCGGCGCACGCCCCTCTGGCGGCGGCCCCCTGCCCCCTGCTTGCTGCGGCCCGCCGCGACCCTGCTGCCCAGGAGGCCCACGGACAGGTCGAACTGCTCCTCGCAGTACAGTGCGAACGGGCCCACCAGCTTCTCGACCTGGTGGCCAGCGTGATAATGCGGCTATTTGAGCTGGCGGATGAGCCTCAACTGCTCCGCCCCATCATCTCCAACCCCAGAGGCCTCCGAGGTTGCAGGTTGCCCCGCAGCGGGAGAAACATACCAAGGACCCCCGGGGCTTTACCGGCGTGGTGAGTGACCTGTGCTTCTGGAGCCGCAGGACCTTCGGCCCGCCACACGTGCAGGGACGGCCACTCACCCTCCCGGGGTCAGGTGGCGGCCTTCCGTTGTCCAGCCCCCCCCCCCACCCGCTCCATCCCACTGCCGCCTACCACAGGAAGAAGAGGCGGAGGAGGGGAGGAGGCGGAGGAGGAGGAGGGGGGGAAAAGGAGGAGGAGGGGTGGAGGAGGAAAAGGAGGAGGAGGAGGAGGAGGAGGAGGAGGAGGAGGAGGAGGAGGAGGAGGAGGAGGAGGAGGAGGAGGAGATGGAGGAGGAGTATGGTTAAGGAGGGGAATGGAGGCCACTTCGACCGCTCGCTCACTCTTCTACCGTAGAGCCTCCATCTCTGGAATGGCCTCAGGGTAGACAGATATCAACCAAGTCAAATTCATAATTGACCGCGCAGAGTTTGGCACGTTTGTTGTTTTATTTATCTGAGTAGGTGGAGCTGATGCTGCGCTATGCCACTGACGTGACGTGCCATCCACAGGAAGCTGTGGCCATGGGGATCAGATCGAACAAACAAACAGCATGGGAAAAAAACGGGCCCACGCCCGCGATCCCAAGCTTCTTGCCATTCTGAAGCCCAGCCGGAATCCTACTATCCTGGGTACCGACCCTGCAGCAGGACCCAGCTTCGGCGTCACTCCTTAGATCGCGGTGCGAATGGACCCGTTTGTCAGGAGTCAGGGTCCAGCGAGCATCGCCATCCAGGCCGTCTAGCAGCCCAGGGTCTGAATCATGAAACACGTATTGGGCTCATTGACTATCAGGTGCTTCTCACATAGCTCTGAAACGATTTTAGGATGCGTCTTTGCTCTCAAGCCTCCTGCAAGGTCACAGGTCCTGCAATGATGTGCACCGTCGAGTCGTCCAAGGTGTTGATGCAACGCGTCGGCGATGCTGACGATGCTGATGCTGATGATGATGCGGCTGCTGATGATGATGCTGATGACCATGATGACGACGGTGATGCAGATGCTGATGCAGATGTTGATGCGGATGCTGGCGATGGTGATGCTGACGCTGATGATGATCGTGATGGTGCTGGTGATGATTGGGGTGACGGTGATGATAGCGTTGATGACGATGCGGATGAGGATAATGTTGAATATGCCGATGACGTTGCTGATGCTGATGCTGACACTTATGATGTTGATGTTGATGCTGATGAGTATGATGACGATGGTGTTGCCGATTTTGCT